CCTTGTACCTCATTGGTGGCTCAATTTGATCAGTTGACAACTGGAATTCTGCACATTTAGAATCAAACTTGTGAGTTGGACATTTATCTAGATAATCATGACTACTTCTGGACCCTAGACCCTACACACAATACCACAAATAGGATATTCAAACAACCCCTGATATAAAGGTGAAGTTCTAGCAAATCTTTATCTATGGTAAAATTTCCCTCTTTACATTTCTGACTTTGGTATTGTGCACATTCTCTAAATGTGTACTTTTCAGGAACTACGGTTGGAACTGACAGCAGAGATTCAGTACATAAAATACATTTCTCAGGAACTACCCCTTTAGCTGTAAACAATGCCCATTCATACCACCCATTATACCTGGCCATCTCCCACCACTCATCTGGATAACCCTGAATGCTTCTTAAAATTGGCCTTATGTTTCCTCAAGGTTTTCCCTTAAACAATAAATCCAGGCGGCTGCTCAACTTCTCTGACCCACAATCTATGTCTGTTCTTTTTAAATCTTGTCTGTTTTTGTGTATGACTGTGGCCTTTTGGTTGTTGCTCTTCAGTGAATGTTGGCATGGGTTCTAACACTGTCTGGAGTGGTGTGGATTGTGTTTGGGTTGCATCGTACTCGCCTACGTTGACAATGTCTCGGGCTCCTTCTTCGAACAGTACCTGTATGACTTTCATCTGCACCCCCTCTGTCCACACTTTCTCTCTCTCCCTCTCTCTTCCCACATTGCCCTTCAGCAACCACATCAGGAGAACAGTTACTTTCAAAATTAGTAGCACATTCATTTTTGAATTGTACTTCCCTTAGGTTTTTTTGGCAGCTTCGTGCAGTGACTCAGATGATACCACTCTACTTGCACCGAAGTAGGTGTAGCACAGACCACTGTGTACGGGCCTTCTCTCCAAGGTTCTTGCCACTTTCTTCGAAAGACTTTGATGTAGACCTGATCCCCTGGCTCCACTGGCTTCTCGGTTTGGATCAGGTTCATGGCTTTTCTCCTGCAGATAGATGGACCTATGTATCGCAGTCAGTTGTCTCATGTACTCCTTTAGTTCATTCTGCAACTGCTCAAGTGTGGGTCCCTTGTAAGGTCCTCTGCATGCAGGATAAGGCATAGGTCTACCAGTTAGCATCTCATGTGGCGACAGATTAATCACTCTGTGCTTTTGCATGCGATAGCCCATAAGCGCAAGCGGCAAGGCGTCTACCCAGTTAAGATAAGTGCTAGCGCAGATTTTGCTGATTTGATTTTTGATTGTAAGATTTACTTTTTCTCCCATGCCCTGGCTCTTTGGGTGAAACACACTGCCTAGCCATTGCTTGATTCGTAGCTGCTGCAAGATGCCCTTGGCAACCTTCTGCACAAATGCAGAGCCATTGTCTGAACTAATCTCTGATGGAATGCCAAAACATGGAATAATTTCTCTGACAAGAAATTTAATTACAGTCTCGGCGCCAAGATCTTTGGAAGGTGTTGCTTCTACCCATCGACTGAACATGTCGTTCACCACCAACATATAACGTTTCCCCTGGACTGTTTTGATCATATCCACATAGTCTATGACTAAATGTCTGAATGGTCCCTCAGGAACTGGAATGTGTCCTGTCGAAGATTTTACAGGTCTCTTTACATTGTTCTGAAGACACACATCGCAATGATTCAACATTTCATCAACCATTGCCTGCATGTATGGTGACCAATAGCCCTGCTGTCTCAGCTGTCTCATTATCTCCCCCCTTGCACAGTGATTCACACTGTGCAGGTCAGATATCAAAATCGTTAACAGAGCTACCGGTGCTACTAGCAGCCCTTCATGTGATCTCCAAAGCCCATTTTTGTCAATGCTAGCACCTCTTTGACGCCAAATGTTATGCTCGTTCACATTTGCATTTTGCTGCATCAACATAATGTCCTCTGGAGTTGCAACAGGTTCAAGTGACAACATCGGCGCCAATACAGACACCTGACTTTTAGAGGCATTCTTTGCAGCCTCATCAGCTGCATTATTTCCCTTGATAATGTCACTGCTCCCTTTTCTGTGGACTTGACACTTCACAATGACAAGTTTTGTCTGCAACATTATTGCTGCAATCAATGCAAGAATCTGTTCACGATGCTGCACTGGACTGCCGTCTGCTCTCTTGAAGCCTCTTTGCTTCCAGACTGCTACAAATAAATGGCACACTCCATGCGCGTAAGCAGAATCTGTAAAAATGTTTGCAACTTTTCCTGATGCAAGCTTGCATGCTTCTGTCAGAGCTTTAAGCTCAGCTAGCTGTGCAGAACATGGTTGAGTGCAGCTCTCTGCAATCAGTGTCACAAACTCATCTTCCTCCTGTTTAACCACTGCAAACCCGGCGTGGTTCCCTAAATGATCACGATAACATGATCCATCAACAAAATACATCACCTCAGCTTCTGTGAATGGTGTGGACTCCAAATCAGGTCTCAACTTTGTGTACCTCACTGTTTCAGCCGTGCACTCATGTGGCTCTCCCTGAAAGTCAAAAGGAATGACATCTGCTGGATTTAATGAGGTACATCTCTTTATTGTAACATCAGGATATGTCAACAGTGGCGTGTACTGCAAACATCTAGCTTGGGTTACCACAAATTTCCCTTTATTGATCAACTCAGTGATTTTGTGATGAGTCAAAATGGTCACTGGATACCCCATAGTTACAGTGGACACTTTCTCATATGCATACTGCACTGCAGCTAGCCCTTGATAGCATGGAGGCCACCCTTGGACCACATTATCAAGTTTCAAGCTATAGTATGCTATTGGTTGTTTCTGACGACCACTACAAGTCTCCTGCATCAGGACAGCTGATGCATACATGTTTTGTCGATTTGACACATACAACAAAAATGGTTTACTTTAGTCTGGAGTTGCAAGACAAGGCACACTCTGCATTTCCTGTTTCAATGTCTCAAATGCTGTCTTAGCAACAGCCGTCCAACTCAGTTGTGTCTTAAACGATTGATCACCTGCCTCTTTCATGAGATCTCTCAGTGGGGCAGTCTTCTCAGCATAAAGCCGCGTTCAGACCAAACGCGACCAGGTCGCGTCGCGTCGCGTTGGTCGCTCAGGTCGCGTCGCGTGGTGCCCTGGTGTGTCAACACCGGGTCCAAAGCTGCAGTCGCGGAGGTCGCAGGTCGCGGCTGGTCGCCGATGACGTCATCACGTTAACGTCAGTAGCTCAGTTTTCAGTGCGACCAGTGTTGAAGATGGACGACATCGTGACCTGTGCTGCCGCATACCTTCGTGTCCGACATAGACGCCGGCGGCGTGTATGGGTGCATGAAACCATCCGGAGGAGGACGGAGCTGGGTGAATATCACTGTTTGCCCCAGGAGCTCTGCCTCGACGATGGCCGTTTCCAGTGGTATTTCCGTTTGTCGACGGCGCAGTTTGAGGACCTCCTCGCCCGGGTGGGAAGCAGCATCTCCCGCCAGGACACCAACTACAGGCGCTCCATTCCAGCTTCGGAGCGCCTGTCTATCTGTCTGCGGTGAGTATAATCAAGAATAATTAATTTAAAATGAGCAGATACACTGGGCAAATAAGGCAAAACTGCAAAGTTTATCAGCTTTCTGTACACTGAGTTCCTCCTGTGAGCTGCTCTTTGCCTCTGTCCTTTAATATCCAGTCAAAATAAAACTTCTCTTGCACACACTAATGTGATTTAGAAATTCTGTGAATCTGATCAATTTACTAAAGACAGATAATATAACTCCTGTGAAAATAATCCTATCTGATCAGACTGATAAGGTGCTGCTGAAGAAGTAAACAGGATTGGTCTGTGTCCTTTATTTGATCCACTCAGTAAAGTAAGAAGTTACACTGAAAAAAATTAACCCTTAACACATTCAATACATACTGTAAAAAAATTACCTGGAAATCAATTACTTTAAAATGACCAGATACACTGGGTGCTAGCATAAATGTTTGTGTCAAAGAGGATTTATGGACACTCAAATCTTCGGTTACGTTTCTATTTCATATGGCCTCATATTTTAAATAAAATTTGTAATGAAATTAATTTTTATGTGCTTTAGGTTCCTGGCTACTGGAGACTCCTTCAGGACCATCGCATACAGCTTCCGGGTTGGAGTTTCCACCGTGTCGGGCATCGTGGCAGACACCGTGTCCTGCATCTGGGAGTGCTTGGTGGAGGACTTCATGGCTGTGCCCACCTGTGATGAGTGGAGATCCATAGCACAGGGTTTTGAGGAGCGGTGGAACTTCCCCTTGTGTTGCGGTGCAGTGGATGGGAAGCACGTGGTTCTGAAGGCTCCTGCCAATTCAGGATCACAGTTCTATAACTACAAGGGAACATTTTCTATTGTTCTCTTGGCAGTTGTAGATGCCAATTATTGCTTCCGAGTGATCGATGTCGGAGGCTTCGGGAGGACCAGTGACGGGGGGATTCTGGCCAACTCTGCGTTTGGTCAGGCCCTACGTTCTGGCTCCCTCCAGCTGCCTCCGGATCGGTCACTGCCTGAAGCTGAACACAGGGGACCCCAACCTCATGTGTTTGTTGCAGATGAGGCCTTCCCGCTCCGGAGAAACCTCATGAGGCCGTATCCAGGGCGCATCCTCCCCAGAGAGAAGCGCATTTTCAACTACCGGCTGCAAATTTTTGAACGGCTGCAACAGCAGATATAAAAATATAATACAATAAAAAATTTCAACTATATACACAAATTTACAAGTTGGATGGGGGGGGGCATGGCTGAAACAGAGGAGCCTGGCTCGTTCCCCCCCGAGGCTGTCACCCCAGCTAAGGTTCCACTGGTTCCAAATTCAGTGTGAAATCCTGAGCTTCAAAAACTAATTTATGCATTTGAAATTTAACTTGCTCCTTAGCCTGGGGTGACAGCCTCGCGAGGGAAGGAGCCAGGCTTAGGAGGAAATGCTCCTCCTCGGGATAGCGAGATGTGGGTGGTGGTGGTGGTGGTGGTGGAGGGGGAGTCTGCTGCCTCCTCAGGGCCTGACAGAGGAGCTCCTCAATCTCCTCCAGTCGTGAGGAGGGAGGCGTCCTCCTCTTCCTCGCTGTCATAAAAAAAACTAATCGGTTACTATTTGTTTTATAATTTCTATGTGACCTTGAGCAATTTCATTGAATATATGGTTAATATTTAATTTCTATACCTCTTGGCCTGGCTGCAGTGGGGCCCGAGGCATCACTTGCCGCAGTTGAGGGAGCAGGAGAAGCTGACGGGGCAGGAGAGGGAGCTGAAGCAGGAGATGGAGCTGGGGCAGGAGAGGGAGCTGCTGCAGGAGAGGGAGCTGAAGCAGGAGAGGGAGCAGGCTTATCTTTAGTTAAAGTTGTGACAAAAATGTCTGAAATCAAAACTCTGCAATCAGGCAACATTGTTATTCAAATAAAAAATGTTCACACATTACATGTGCATGACTTGATCTATCCATCTTAAATTAGACTACAATGGTGTGTTTAAACCATGAGGGGACTCAAATTTATTTGCTATGTTTTTCACTCATCAACCAACCGTCAAACTCCACTCCTGAGGGGCCTGCTTCCTCCAGGTCTTCAGGCATCCCAGCAGAAGAAGCAGCATTTTCTGCGGTGAAGTCTTCCTCGACCTCCCGAGACATGTTGCTTGATGTGTCCCTCGGGGCAATAAAGGGGTCGAGGAAGGACATCACCGCAGTGAAACGCCACTTCCTCTGCTGGGAGGCCGCCGACCCGCTTCTCCCGCCTTCTTTCTCCCTCCTTTTCTCCCTCAAGTAAACGTCCCGCAGCCCCTTCCACCGCTTGCGGCACACATCCACTGCAAAGACACACACACATACGTTGAAACATGTAGCCTAGCATACAGGGGCAGTAAGCTATGTTTTCATAAAACTGTCTGCTCACTGAAATAAATACACAAACAAACTTACCAGAAAGCCCGACATCATGGGCCACCTTCACCCATGCCTCGTCCTTGGAGGTGCGGTCCCGGTACAGTCCGCACCCCACGTCGTACAGGAACAGGTGGAAGCTTACCGCCGTGATTAACTGTTCCTCCATTGTTTGATTTTTGATTTTCCCCTCCTCCTCCTTGCTTCGCCGGTTTGTTGACGTCAGCAGAGCCCTGATTGGCTGTCGCGGCACGGAGTCGCGGCTAGTCGCTCCCAAAGTTCAAATATTTGAACTTTGGGAGCGACGCGACTTGGCGTCCTGCGACCTCGGCGACGCGACCATGCGCGACCTCGGCGACCATGCGCGACCTGGTCGCCCGGTCGCGCATGGTCGCGTCGCAGGAAGCCGGCAGTCGCCAAGTCGCGTCAGGTCGCGGCTGTTCATAGACTTTGCATTGGGAGCCGTCCCTGAAGTCGCAGAGGTCGCGTCTGATCTGAACGCGGCTTAACCTTCAATCCATTCTGAGTTAAACCCTTTCATGCCCAAAAATGTCATCATCTGTCCGACTGGTTGCAGGCATGGAGCCCTGCTCACACCCTCCAACTGAGAAGGTAACATTGCAATCGCTCCATGAGAGATTACTCTCCCCAAGTACTCTACATGGGGCTGGCAGTACTGTAGCTTCGCCTGGGAGACTGTATGTGGCCTTGACCGGATTTCTGTTTCACACAGGATCTTAATCATGTCACCCTTCTCTGAGGAAAAAATCCCTGGATTATCTGTTCCCTCCCATTTTGTTTTTGCTGCAGCATACATCATTGGCCCAAGGTCTCTTGATTCAAAACTCTCATTTACCAGCAGTGCTATGTGTGGTACTGATTCTGGCACATTGTACCACTTTTTGATGAATGGATTTGATTCTACATTCATTGCTGCTTCTTGTTGGCCTATCACTATGTACTTTGTTTTCAGATTGGGAGTCACGCCTCTGTTGCCTTCGTCCCACTTCTCCTCAAACACTCTGCTGCAGGAGGGGTCAAAAAACATAGTGCAATGATACTCAGACATTCTTCTACTGATGTATTTTTCCCATGTGACGAATGCTTTGGACACTGGGTCAACAATGTCACCCAACCAATACGTTTTTGCATAGTCTGCCTGAATGTTCATTTGGAACTCTAACCCTGAGCTGTCTACATAGATTCCTTGTGGTGAACACCAACTTTGGACATTTAGTTTGCACAAAGCATCTCGGCCTAACAAATTCACAGGGGTTTCCTTAGAAACCAAAATTGGCACTTTAACCTCTTTATCTTCAACTGAAAGTCGCACTGGAGCCATTTGTAGAATTAGCTGTCGTTTACCCGAGAATCCTACTGTCTTCACAAATTTGTTAGACCTGGGGAGGTGTGTGGCATAATCTGAACTTACACATGTGTAAGTGGCTCCAGTGTCAACTAGCATGGGAGTTGGTTTATCCTCTAATTCAACTCTCAACATCGGTTCATTTTCTCCCATGGCTACCATTGGAAACTCTGTTGCAGAGCAACCTCCCTCTGCAGGATTCTCTGGGCAGCCCTAGTCAAATGAGGGCTCTATACCAGAATTCACCAGGCCACCACCATGTTGCCTGGGCTGGGGCCCCCCGCCGCGTCCCCAATTTGGGGCACTCTGACTTCTGGGGCAATTCCCCCATCTATGTCCCTCTTGTCCACAACCCCAGCAGCCCCTGGGCATGTCACATCTGTCTGTCTGGTACCGTTGCCCACGGGAGAAAAAACGTCTTGATGGAGGATATACATTAACAACTGGAGCCTGAGCTGGCGGGGCAGGTGCCTGCTGGGCTGGGATTGGCTGTGCTTCAGCTGTTATTTGCGCAGCCTGTATTGCTGGTGTCACCACAGCAGCTTGATTTTTTTCTTTATTTTTAAGCTCCCCCAGCTGTAGCTGTGTCAGTTTTCTCTGTGTGTTCCTCTCCTGCTCCGTTAATCTGCACTCATCTTTTCTATGCTTCTCGAAAGCATGTACCACATGAACACGAAACTGTGTATATGGCATAGATGTCAGACCCACGACCTCCTCCAGTCTGCCTTGAACCTGGGCAGGAAGAGCCTCAACAACAGAATTTCTGAACAAAGTCATTAGTACTGGATTGTTTTCAGTGTCCTCTTCTGTTTCTTGCTTCCACCTCTTTAGCTGTCTGGCGATATATACAGCAGGGTTTTCTGTTTCTGACAGCGGCTAACCCTTTAACACCTTTGCATCTATTTTGCTAGGAAGCTCAGTCCGTAATGTCTTCCACAACATTGCATGATAGGGGTTGAACTCAGTCCCATCTGCCATGGGATCTGTCATCCAACCATGTCCAGCCTTTTGCAGAATCTCCTCCATTGTGTCCATGTAGATTCTCATTCAACGACTGGGTGGAGTTAAAAATAATGGGTCGTAGAAACCCATCTCTGGGTGTGTGTCCCCCCAAGTCGTTAACCTGAAAGGGTCGTTAGCGACTCCTGTCATGTGACCACATGACACATGCCACCTGGGTCATGTGGTTCCAGGTGTGAATGTTTGTGGAGCTTCCTGGGGAGAGAGCTGAGAACAGCATTGTAAGTGCCAGAGAGATTGTGCCTGAGTCCACCCCCTCTGTTCAGAGAAGGTTTCTCCAGCCTGGTAAAGATGGCTTCTTTAACTCCTCTTTCAAACCATCTGTCTTCTGGAGCCAACACCTGTACATTTCTGTCCTCGAAAGAGTGACCCGTATCCTTCAAATGAAGGTGGACAGCTGAGTCCTGACCTGGGGAAGTGGCTCTCCTGTGTTGAGCCATGCGCTTGTGAAGCGGTTGTTTCGTTTCCCCAATGTACAGGTCCGAGCATTCCTCGCTGCACTGGACAGCGTACACCACCTGGCTCGAGAAGACAGATGGTTTGAAAGAGGAGTTAAAGAAGCCATCTTTACCAGGCTGGAGAAACCTTCTCTGAACAGAGGGGGTGGACTCAGGCACAATCTCTCTGGCACTTACAATGCTGTTATCAGCTCTCTCCCCAGGAAGCTCCACAAACATTCACACCTAGAACCACATGACCCAGGTGGCATGTGTCATGTGGTCACATGACAGGAGTCGCTAACGACCCTTTCAGGTTAACGACTCGGGGGGACTCACACCCAGAGATGGGTTTCTACGACCCATTATTTTTAACTCCACCCAGTTGTTATCTTCCCCCTTCTCCAGCAAGATAAATATCTGCTCCTCACACTAGCACTTTTAGAACTGAAGAAGCTTCTTGGATAAGAGGCGAAACGTCTTCTCAACTCTACGCAGTCTTCAAGATAATCTCCTCCATTGTCTTAATTCCCAGCAATTGTGCAAAAAGTGCTTTCATGTCTCCCAAAGCCAATATTTTCCCCACAGTCTCGTCTTCAAATGCGCTGATCCACCTTCCAGCCCCCTGATCGAGTTGCGGCAACCTGGCAATCAGCCCAGTAAGGTCTATGGTCTGCCACGGCACATAAGTGGCCTGTGTGCCCTTTATTAAGATTGGAAATATGCCATCAGTATATCTTTCTGGTGGGTGTATTCCGGGCCTGTATCTAAGATCGTATTTTTGTGCAGGATCATTTGATGTTCTTGAACTCTGTGTTTTAGCTGTACTGGTTAGTGTCTGTCCTCCCCCAGTATCTGAGTTGCTTGTTGTGTCTCTCTGATCTCCCAGTCTCATTCTGATTGATTCATCACATGCATCTACCTCTCTTTCCATTTCTTGTATTGCTGAGCGAAAGAATTCACATCGCATGTCTGTGTTTTTGTTTTCAGGATTGTACAAATATGATTGTCCAGCTGCACCAGTTCTCAGAGTCTCATTGCGTTCTGCAAAACAATCAATTATGAACGGCTTATTTTGTGCCTCTTTCTTTGTTGTGCTGCAGTGTATTGGGATTGGTGGTCCAATATTGTCCCCACTAGCTTTATTTTCTAGAGTTGGGCAATTATCTCCCCCTCCCACACCTGTGTTAGCTTTCCCTCTGTCAACTTCAAAATCGCCATATATGTTGATTTTTCCCACCAGAGAAGGATATATACCTACAGGTCCCGGTGTCAGTTTAGACTTTGGTATCTCTTTTTCTGTTCTGGTCTTCCTCCAAAATTGTGACTTTTCCCTCTCCTTCTCCTTGGTGTCGGTCACCATTCAACACTTCAACGCTTCTTCAAATGAACACACACACCATAACCTGATCCCCAGCAGTTTTGTAAAATTCTCAAAAATTACACAGTCCAAAAGCTTTTGCGTTAACTGAAGTCTCACAGCAATAATCAATATTGGTATTAACAGCTTCAACAATATTTGAAAAACAACAACAGTATTTTGACAGGTTCAGCAGATACATCAGATGTGCAGAAGCAACCCTTTAAATTTGATCTTTTTAACAGTTTCATACTTACAGTATTAATTCTCCCTCTTTCATATATATGTGTTACCCTTTTACAACTATTGCTTGAATCACATTGACACCGGAAAAAAAAGAATTGAAGGCAAAGAGGTAGTTATTACCAAACACATACGTGTAATCACAGACAAAGTAAGCCTGTAAGTGCAGCTGAAAGCATTGATGCAGATCTCACACACATGCATCCACAGCGCTTAGCTCAGCTGTTTCATTCACTGCAGATTTCACACATGCACCCACAACTCTCAGCTCAGTCACTTCATTCACTGCAGATTTCACACACATGCACCCACAACATTCAGCTCAGTCACCTCACTCTTTCACCATTCAATGGTTAACCCTTTCACACATGTAATAGTCTTGGTCAGAAGTCAGTCATTCGAGTCAGTCCTCAGTTTTTATTTTTGATTCTTGTTTTGATATTTCCAATTTGTGTGATTCTTCTACAATTGGTCAGAAGATATGGGACGTGCTTGTGCAATTGGGATCCCTGAATAGGCTTTTCAGCCTATCCTTATTGACCTCTTTTTCTATCTCCTGCTCATCAAGC